GCCCCATACCTTAATGAATTTAACTTAACTACTGCTCTTCTTTAGAGCGATTGGTGGTACCCGAAGACGTTAAATGAATATCGTCGTCGACGTGATGCAGCGCGAGGTGAGTATAAAACTGTTTTTCCTACCAAACAAAACATGATTTTTCTTCTTTTCTTACAGGCAGACAAATCGCCCTCAACCACCTCTCCATATCAAACCCTACCACTGACCACTCAAGAGCCTGATCATTCTATTACTTGATTTTCCATTTTCATTTTTATTACTGATTCCTTTTTTTGCGTCAATACAAATAAACTTCTAAAAACGAAAAATAATCAAGGCACCAAACAGCGATTTCCTACCTGATGACTCTGTCAAAACTGAACAGTAAGATGAGCACTCAATAGAGTATGAAAAGTTCTATCTGGAGCCATCAATAATAGAGTTGGAGCCACTGAAGAAACGAATCGCCACAGTATTTTCTCATATTTACCCTTGACGGCATATGATCAAGGTACTAATTAGCGATTTTCTCGTTGATGACTCTATCAAAAGTGAAGAGTAAGGTGTGCAATCGGTAGAGCGTGAAAAGCTCTATCTGGAACCATCAATGACCGAGTTGGAGCCAGTGTATTAACGAATCGTGGCGGGTTTTCCCGAAATTGCCGAAGTTGGCTGTCGGTTTTTGACTATAATCCCTGGATTTCTCCTTGATAGTGTGATAAATTTTTGGAGCGACAGCTGGAACAGAAAGCGCTTGTCCGGTGGTGCTTGGAGCGAACGGAAGCGGAATTGGAACCAGGCTGTGGGCGAATCCTTTTAGGAATTGCTCGAATCCTGACCTAGGATATCCTACGTATTCAAAAAAGGATATTATGTGACGAACTAGTTGGCACAACAACAAAATGTTTTATCCTATAAGTCGTTTCAATGTCTGTTACTGCTGGAGAATTAGCAGTCACGAAATGGAGAAACTTCGTTTGAACAATCAAAGTAAGCCGATATCAAGCGAACATAAAACAACTCTTCACAGTGCAATACTGATAATAATCCTTGAGATCATTTTCAACATCAAAGGTCTGATACATGTTACGCAGTAAAAAATATTGTGTCGCATTAAAATGTGTCTCAGCTCCTGTGAGAAAATTGTGTCGCAAAAGAATGTGTCGCATAATTGTGTTGCCGTTACTAAGAACTTTCAGACACAGTTCTCGAGGTCATTTCAGGATCTGCTCTCTTCAAAAAATTGCTAAATTTTATGTTTTACTATTTTCAGCAGTCTTCATTAGTATTTTACTCGGCTTCTTTTCAGTTTTGATGTGCTATAGGTGGCACTAATACGTAATAGATAAGAAAATTTTCGAGCTTTTTTTGGTATTTTTGTACCCATTGTTGAAGTGTTGAAAGTGTTGAAATTTTGTACCCATTCTGGAATGTGCTTTTTACCCCTTGTATCAGATACATATTTTCGGGTAAGTGTAAGTGTTTATATGGATATCAATTTACATATGATGAATATCAGAGAACTAATATCTGTCTTTATAATGTCTTACTTATTTTCCGACAAAAATAATTAACAGTACACAACAAAACAATAACAATTGCAAATGAAAACTTGAATCCATTTCCATATATTGAATTAGTCCATCAACAATTTCAACTATTGAGTAGTAAAACAATGTAGTCAAAATCATTCAACTTATCTTGAAAATGTCTTGCGATTTCAAAGTATTTTGGATGGCAGTAGTGACAATATTGTCTTCGGTTGCATAATGAACAGTTAACTGATTCGTGATCAACAAATTTTTCATATGTTTTAAATTCAATTACTTTATGATGACAGATTTCTCTCATACAAAAAGAACAGATTTTGTGAGAGAGAAAAATCATCAGAAATAGCAAGGCAAGCGAAGAGAAAATTCTTACAATTTGAAGTAAAAATTACATGCCTAAAATAGATGAAGCTGCTTAGATATGGAAGAATAACAACAGAATAGATCAGCTTGTATACATCTCAATAAAAAAAATAATAGGCGGCGCTGTACACACACATGATAAGGGAAGAAAGAAGTAAAAGTAAGTTTTGGCTACTGCTCTAATTCTTATCTGTTTGCTTTGAAAAAATTCAATTCTTGTTGGATTTTGTTTTTTTCTCTTCTGCTAGTTTTCTTTTTCTCAACGCTCTTTGTTTGAAATGATCATCATCATTAATATCATTTTGTGATTTAACACCATTTACATTTTGACCTATATTCGAGACAGATGACTGTCGTTCTTCGAAAATTGCATAAAAAAGCAAGAAAATACCACTGTTTTATCAAAGATTCATATCAGTAGAAATGTTGATAAGTTATATTATCACCTTCATCAGTACTGCTCAATGTTGTCTCCCATGTTGGTTTGTATAGAAACCTTTCTCTATCAAACTGAATATGTTTCTGATAAGATTTGTTCTCTTCAGTCTCGTATAAGAATGCGGACGACACATACCATTGGTTTTGAAAGGTACAGAAGAGACTGTCTTAGCAAGAATAGGTGCATGATCACATGTTTCGCATAGTTTAGGTAAAAGACTAACTTCATGAATAACACTTACATTATTTCTTATAAAAAGATCAAGACACGCCGGTGAAGACGGCCTTTGTAGGTTTATTTACTAGTTGGTAAAAACCAAGATTTGCAACAAAGAATATAGTTTATCACCTTCGGGTGTTGAAGGTTTTCTGTCGCTCGATTTAGAACAGTGAGCATTAACACCTTTTAGACCGGAAACGAAACAAGTCGTTTTTATAAAAAGTATGAAAATTCCGTCCGAAAGGTGCTCAATAAAACACAGTGGGAACACAGTAAGGAAAATTTATGTTCTATACCCGCCTTGAAAAATTTTAATCAACAGTTAGTTTACGATAATAGGGAAAAAGCTAATATTTTAAACGAACACTTTGCGTCTATTTGTACCACGCCTGTTAATCAGTATAACACAGTTATTCCACTGAATACTGTACCTTTAACTAGGTGGAAATTAGGCGTTTTTCACGTTACAGATGGCAAGGCTAAATTCGCTGCCGTACACTTTCGCAGTAGACTTTCGGCAATTGCCGAAAGTCTAGTGCGAAAGTGTACGACGGCGAAATTCATGGTATTCGTTAGAGGATCAGATATTGAGAAAACAAATCATCTTGTTCGTGAATCCGCTGTAATTATTAGTGAGGATACTGCACATATTTGCAGAATGTCATTACATGAATCCACCTTTCTAGAATTTTTTAAAACAGGTTATGTAAATGCTTTATTTAAAAGTAGAAATCACACATCACCAAACAGTTATCGTCCTATTACACTACTGTCCACACTATCGAAAGTGCTTGAAAGTGTATAAACAATTCAACTTGTTGAACTAATAGAGTCTACTTTTAAGGACAGAGACTCTGATAATCAAACTGAAGTTTTATTCTTTGATTTCAAGAAAGCTTTTGATAAAGCTTGGCATAAAGGTCTATTACATAAGGTTAATAGGAAAGGCGTATGTCCGCAATAGATTGCATGGCTAGAAAGTTATCTTCGTGATAGACGAATTATCACTGTAGTTGAAGGAAAGCAATCAATAACTCTTCGTATCAATTTTGGCATACCCCAAGGCAGCATACTTATTTATTCTTCAGAATGTGACACAGCATTAAAGCCTATTGCACATCGGCAATATCGTGCCGCTCTTCTTGTTTCAGGCGCAATATACTTGTCAAGTAAAGAAAAAGTTCTAGATATTTTAGGTTGGACGGATTTATTAAAACTGATAGACATAAAATTGATTCTTCTGCGACATATCATTTCAGGAAATATTTTGTAATATCTGAATGTTCATCTTCAACGTAGAGATCCCGTTCCGTATACTTTACGTAGACGTGCTAGTTTTAAAGAAACATCTTTAGATTCTGCTCATGCAAATAATTCATTCTTTCCTTATACCTTAAAAGAATGGTCACCACTTCCTAACCATATAAAATACACCTCTTTCAAACATTTTCCTACATAAACTTCTATGTTTTATAATGTCGAAATATCTCATTATCGTGTCTACAACATTGATTGTTTCAGCGACATTGTTTTTAACAGAATCCGCGCTAATTTTTCAACGGTTAACGATGACTTAACCAAAGAAATTTATACCGATTCAATACTTGTTCATGCCAATGTGTAGACACAGTTCAGCACTTCTTTCTACATTGTGTATTATACCGTTCACTGCACTCTGTCATACAGCAAAAGCTCTCAACCATAGATCCACCCCTATCCATAAATCTTGATCTTTTTTTTTGTTACTAAAAATTTTTCTATCTAAAGACCAATATCTATTCATCTATACTAGTGTTATTGAGTATATCGTATCTACTAGATGATTCCACAAGTAAGGGTAGTTTTATTGTTATATGAAAACTTGCGTAGAAATAAATACAATAATTATAATGATATACTAGTTTATAAACTTTTAGATAGTCATGAATTTGAAAGTGTTCTTTTTCTATAACATTAAATGGCATCGGTAACGTTTTGATAGTCTAGTCTTATCGGACAGAATCAAAGATCGATGTTTTGAAAAAATATTTATCTTTTTTATCTGATTCTATTGCGAAACTTGTCTCATTACGCTCTTTTACAAATATTTTCTTGTTTGGCGATTTTAGCACCTTTTAGACGGGAAACGAAAAAAGTATGAAAATTCCGTCCGAAAGGGCTATGTACTGTCCTCGTTACAATTAAAGTGGAATGGAAAGTTTTGGAACTGGAGGTTTCTGAAAAATTCCAAGAAAACTTTTGGAATCTGGTGGTTCTTACATGCTTCGATACTCACGGCTCTCCTCTTTCTAACGGTGGAAACCGTCTTACTATTAAAAACTGTTCAAAAAAAGAGAGAGTACTTTCTGTTTTGAAAAGGATAGTATAACGGAACTATTAGATACAGCGAGCGATGTTGGTTATGAAAGCTAGCTTCTACTGCTGAAAACCTAAATCGTTTTTTAGCATTTTTCCAAATATTCCGGCAAAATTTCATTTACAGAAAAAAGCATGTCATACGAAATTTGACTGGTTCACGTTTCAAAATGTATAGAAAACTCAATTCAAGATCTATAAAACTTCTTTGTCTGTCCTGGAGTGGTTCATTCTCAAGTTTTTCCCACGATCACCTAGGTTAATGTAAGGCTTAACTAGAGATCAATGCTGATTAGGAACGGAACATTGACGAGAAATTAACTTGGTATAAAATTTGTTTCATAATCTTCCTTCTTCAAATAAATTTATTTTTCTTTTCCTTTGTTGTTTTATTTTTATTTTTATGATGTCAACTAAACTTACATGTAAATAACAGAATAAAGCTTTTTTTTGTTAAAACTAAACTATGGTTTATGTATGTGTTATTTCTTCACCTTTATTAATGTCAAAAAATCAATATCTATTTGTGCTGTACTATTCTATGTATTCTTTTTTGTTAACCTTTAAGAAACAAAATAAATTATTTATGTCAAAAAAAATGTTGGTTATGAAAGGTTTTTGTGCTGAAACCTAAATTATTTTTTAGCATTTTTCCAAATATTCCGGCAAAATTTTATTTACAGAGAAAAGCTTAAAGTTGACGGTCAGGTGACTGAGTGAGTTCAAAAGAATATACTCTTACAGAGCGTTGTCTACTGCAATGTACATTTTTCATACCAGAGAACTAAGGTAAGCTTTAAACGATAGAAAATTCTACAAACGGGTTGTTCGTCACAACACTATGTTATAGCTATTTCTATGGTTTCACGCTTTATGTTCGTTTTTCTTTATTGTTGCCGAGATTGTTTATGTTTGCGGCCGTGGTGGAAAGTGTAATTGTTTCAAAATATTTTTGAACAAATTTTTCCTTAGTGATCTTGACGAAAACAGATAAATGTAGAAACTGCTCGCATAATTCACATAGAAAAGAAAATTTGTTACTGTTGTCGATAAATTCTCTTGAGCCGTACGAAGTGGATCTTTTTGTATTTGATTTGTTATGGCATTGTACAGACTGTTGATGGAGTAAGGTATTGTCGAGATGATCATTGTACCTATTTGCAACAGTAACATTCGTGTCATCTGATATTCATGACGTTGAGCTGCTGCTGAGCGTTGCTGTGGAGTGGAAATAGCACCGGTAGTTGACGGACCAATTTGATGTCGATGAATTTTATGCAGATTTTTCCACGTCGCCAAACCAAATATTATCATGATTGACAATGGTAATATATTGTAAAGAATCAAAATAATAAAATAAGTTAAATAGTATTGATACAATGTGGACTGATTTAAACATACAGTCTGATTTGGTATATGTGTCGGATAAATATTGACCAAGATGACAATTGGCAGACCATGTAGAAACCAGAAAATAATTGTAAGACAACAAACCAGTCGTGCTGTAGATTTGCTGCTCAACTGACGAAGATGCACTCGGCTGCATGTGATCAAATATCTGTCGATCATCGCCCAACAAACGCACGATAATGATGTCAGTATTGAAACGTGTCCCAAATATTGCCTTGCTTTACAAAAGAACAGATTCGTCTTTGTCAAATCATATTGTAAACCAATGAGAATACGCAGTAAAAATGGAATAACAATGGCAATTAAACTGGAAAATGTCGATGTCAGCAAATATAATTGACAAGG